TAATACTTCTTGCAAGTCCCTTTTTACACAAGTAACATAATCTTCCATTCAAGTGTGAGAAGAAACAGTTATCTTCATGAGCAAGAAGTAGGAAAGCCATTTGGATTTTTTTTTTTTTAATCTGTAGGAAAGGGAGTGTGCAGCCTCCAGAAAATCTGTAAAAAGTAAAACCACATGGTAGGTTTACTCGAGGGAGGAAGGGTAGGGGAAAAGCAGGTCAGCTCTGTGAGGGCTGGGGTAAGAAGATAGCAGTTTTTTTCAAAAGGGCATGAATCTTTCTGCATTCCTCACTAGAGCCAACCAAATAAGCCTTTATGAACTTTAAGACTTGGAAAAAGAAATTAGCACAGTAATACTTGAGGAGTACTGGAGGACATGACAGGCCTTAAGGAATGTCTGGTGTGCCATGCCAAACAGTGAGGTGGTATTTGTGATAGTGTTGAGGCCAAGTATTCTTCGCAGCCATTTTGTCATGGAGGGGACAAAAACACCCCTGAATATTGTTTTTAAATACTATTATGGATCCAGAGAGCTTTTACTATTTTTTTTTGGGGGGGGGAGTTACCTTCTTAAGAGAGGTAGCTGAAGGCTTTCCACTCTTTCATTTTGCCACCCCTTCAAGCAGTCATGAAACGGCAATACATAAATAAGCTCATGCCACTTTTTGTTGACAACAGAATGGCCCAGTGGGGACAACACTACAACACAAGATATTCAACCCCACAAGTATTCTTTAAAACAAAAAAACCCTGCACTACCGGAATGTTTTAATACTGCTCCTGAAAAACAACTCCTATGATGTTTCACATAGAAACCCATTTCTAAAAGTAGTGTGTTAACAGAAGGAGCAACTAAGAAAATGCAGGTCAAACTGGATTTCTATAAGACTCATTCACTTAATTTGCTCCACAACATAGGAAATTCCTATCTCCAACTAGAGGTATAAGTGCCAAGACAGCATTTGTCAGAATTGAAGATAAAAGAGATGGATACACAAAGATGAAGATGACTACTAGAACAGGAAGCAATTATATGTGTCACAACACATATAGGTCAAAATATACCAAGAAGGAAAAAATGGTCTTTCCAGCCCTTATATACTGACAAGAGGCATGAAGGCAGAGCAGGAATCTTTGCTGTAATAGTTTTAGTATGCAATCTGCTCGTAGAATGAAGTAACAACAGTGATAATTCTTTAACACTTACATGGCACTGTAGACTATTTAGAGTTCCAACTGCAGTGTCTCAGCAAGTCTTACAAGAGCCTTGTCCAGTCAGGACTGTTATCCCCATAGTGCTGGTAGAGAGCTGCAGATAAGACCACTGTTGTTCAAGGTCATCTTGTCAGTTTTGTGGCCAAACCAACATTCAAACAGACACTTCCCAGTGCAAGGGGAGCAGGGAGAACTTCAGGTTTGTAGGTTCCACTTTGGGTCTTGCTTTTGTTTTGTTTTGTTTTTTAACAACCCACACTCTACCAATCAGTCAGATGCAAGAGACAAACAGAATTAATTAACAAAGGTGCCTCTAAGCACATTCTGAGCCTAGGAACTGGACTCAATCCTTTCTCACAAAAGTCCACTCATGATTATAAATCTGGCTGCTGAAATCAGAGTAAAAACTATATTGTTCTTGCCCTCATTAGACGCTTAATCAGAAACTACCAGTACATGTTCACTTGCATGTGTCTGTTCCCACACCAAAATTAGGCACTCCGAGAATGACTGCAAGGTGGTGTACAGGTTGTGGGTGAATAGTGTGGTGCTATGTTAGCCAATGTGCATCTGGACATCTTTCTTGTTCATCAAGGTGAACTACCCTTCCCAGTTAAATGTAAATTTACATTTTCTTACTGACAGCTGGGATGCAGGTTCAAAGAATTTGTATAGTATGTTGGGCCTCAGATCCCACCTCTATTTGTTCTTTGCTATACCTCCCATGACAGTCATTTTGTGGTGGTTTCCAAGACAGTTTCACCAATTGTCAGATTGCCTAGTGCCCCAAGAGGGCTCCAGCCCCGATCTTGCTGATAAATTATGGGTAATATCCCTGTAGGAAAGGGCCCAAATCCAAAATTGCCACTGCATTGCCTCTTGGCTTGTCATGTGATCAAATGCAAGGTTACGTTCAGTGGGCTATTAAACTGAAGCAACTGTTCATTTGAAAGTTTTATGTCTGTGCAGTTGCATAGCCCTTTTGAAGGTTTCATATTTCTAGGGACCTAGCCTTTGGACTCACTAATTTTAAAGAACACAGTGTGTTTGTTAATATTTCATCCTTGCCCCACTAAAATGATGACTTGTAAGGGTGGACAGGTTTATCAAGAATTCATAACAGCAGCATCTTGCTGCAGTCATTTATCAAAACAAAACAGACACCTTTTCATTAAAACAATATCTGATTGTTGTTCATTATAGCTAAGTGCCAAATGAATTTGTTGTACAAAGAAAGTCATCAAAGCAAGCATTGAAAGGGAGAGTGTCTTATTCTCAGAATATAATGCCAGAATTACAGTGCAACAACAGATCCTGATCCTTCATTTCAGTCTGCAGTGGGTAGAGAATTGTTGATGGACAACAAACCTAAGTTTCCATAGATGAAAGCCCGTAAACACATACACAAAGATCCAGACACATCCAAGGCTGGTTTTTGTCTGCTAAGTTATGTTTTTCTTTGATTAGTTCTTTACTGAGGTCTACTTTTCCTTCATTTCAGCAACAGGAAAAATCCTGCAGCAGTCCATTTAGCAGCTCTAGTTTATCTAATTGTGGAAAGTGCACCCTTAAAGTAGAACAGTTGACAAGTGCAAATATAATTAAGCAAGACATCTAATCCTGAACATGAGGGATGATGAATGATGACCATGAGGTGAGGAGGCTAAGGAGATGAATTAAGTTGTAACCTCAGATCTAGCCTAGATCAAGATGAAACTGGGGTCTGGCTGGTTTGGGCCACCACATTTTGGCACTGAAATGGAATGCAATTTCAATAATCCAGCAGGACAGTTTCTTGATTCCTTCTTGCTGTTCAACACTATACGCAAGCACCATTAACATTATATTCCCCAAATATATGGCACAGTTTTCAGCAGGCTGTGAGGCACATATTTTGAAAAGGGCACACACAACAGAAGAGTTAAACTTTCCTGTTAGTCCTTAATTCTACTGCATCATGTGAATACCTCAATATGTAACTTGAATCTTCTATCACATTTGGAGAATAGGAAGCAAGTGAGCAAAATAAAGTATTTTAAGTATATTCATAAATATTACTCAAACACCCATTGAAAAGTATTAGAAAGGGACATGGCATAAATTTACTTTTGATCCAACCACTATACTAATTATGTAATCATTGTTAATGTAGACTGCAAGCAGAATAGAAAAACTGGGGAGATGAACTTAATAAGGTAACTTTCATTCTCTCTAGAAACCTAACTGAAGCTGGAACCACTATAAATCTTATGTATGAAAATGTTCTTGGTTAATTGGGTCTTACAGTGAAATCCTTTGTGTGTTTACTCAGAAGTAAGCATCATGGGATCCAACGGGGTTTATTTCTAGATAAGCAAGTATATAAAATTTCAAGAAGGTGATTTCCAAACTACTTCAATGGCAAAGAGGGAGATATATGAAAAATTATTCTTCTACCTGCTTACATACCCAGAGTCTCTCTTGCTCCAAGCAAAAGCAAATGCATAGAAAACTGGAGAGGACCATTAGTTCCTCTTTTACCCACTTTCAACCCTCTGTAAAGTTTTGCTTTTGTCACCAAAGACTTCAGCAAAGATATACAAGTTTGTCTTTATAGTTATACTGGCTATGAGTTTATGAGAGTTATACACCAACATACCTGGAGGAACAAGCTTGGTTTTTCATATGTTCTAAGGCTGTGCTAGGCATTGCACTAGAGTTTAAAATGGAGCATGGATGTGATAAAACACAATGTCATTTTGCAGAACATGAAAGTGACCAGGATACCAAACCAGTAATTGAAGATGAATGTTAATAGCCTACTCACAAAAGTGGGGAGTGATCCTTTCTTTGCTTGAGGAATCAATACCCCCAGCCAATGAAGGGAAATTATTTGTTGTCCAGTTCACAAGAACACAGCCTGTGTTCAGAAGCCCCCTTTTGTTGAGGCTGTCCTAGAACCAACATGTAGGGCACCTGCCAAGGCCCAGAAGACACTAAGGTGTCCATCAAGACTGTAGTACCCCTACTCAATCATGCTGGAGAAAGATCAGTAAAAACTCTCTGCTGCTTTGGTCTTCACAGACACAGTGCTGCACAAGAGGAAATATAACATTCACCTGGAATCTTTTGCAACTCTTTTGGGTACAAGGACAAAGAATCAAAGGGAAAACCCAACAGCTGGGACAATACAAAAGCAAAAACTGACCACCCCAAATGACTCTGCCCTTTCCCAATCTATGTACCTCTGCCCTCTCCAATATTCCTGAGTTAAGAAGTACCACTGATGGCCCCTTGTTCAAGCCCATCACCTCCATCCCTATATACTGGATGGATATTGGTGACTAAGATATTTAGTATTGAAAAAGAGAAAGAAAATAAATTGAGGTACTCCTAAGTCCTGAAAGGGTGTGCAGTAATTCCCTTTGAATGAAATGGTGCACTTCAACACACTGTCAGTCAGGTTATCAAAACAAGCATGACAAACAGTAGTCAAACAGGTTGCCAATAAAGGAATAGTTCTGAGAGCTGCATATTAAGGATAACAAAAGCCTTTTGTTGGATAGGACTGTATGCCTTGGCCAATTCCTCTCCTTATATGAAACAGCAGTGGAGTTGATCATAAAATGAGGCTGGTGGACATGATGTAATTGGCAAGAAATGAAATTGATGACTCCAGCAGAGACACTGGTCATGCTCTGACACCAGAACTGACCAAAACTGTGGAATATTTATATATATATTTAGTTGCAATGTCTTGTGTTCCAGGCTAATATATTGCCTGTGAAGTTAAACCTTCCTGTAATTTCAGACTCCAGTACGGGCAGCAATCCAGTCTCGATAGTAAGTCACTCGTGTGTAAACTCCAGGCTTGTTCGGCTTGGCACATTCATCTCCCCAGCTCACTATGCCAACAAGGTACCATATTCCTCTAGAATCAGAAGTTACCAGTGGACCGCCCGAGTCACCCTAGAAATGGAAATAAGATCATTTTGGATATGCAGGAAGGAAAATTATAAACTTTGCACACAAAAAAGCAACATAAGCAGGGCTATGGATACCAAACTTCTTACCAGGTAAAGCTGGTTTCTAATGCCAATGGTTTGGAAGGGAGATGATGGAGTCATTGAAGGCACAGTCCTCAAGATGCCAGTCTCATATTTAAATGGGACTCCTGTCTCCCCTTGGCATACAGCAAAATCAGCACTAGCCAGTTGCCAATATATGGCCATGACAAGCAATTGCACAGTGTACCATTGGATTCTGGGGTGATATGTTAACCTGGGTAACAAGGCATCCTGCCCAGGTTTGCAACACATGGTGAGTCAAAGCAACAGCTGGCATGGTCCACAATACTACGGTATCTTATTTATGCAACACTGCTGGCTAATTACCATGCAAACCACCACCAGCACCACAAACACCTCCCTCCATCTCTCCCTCTTTGTCTCTTTTGTTCCTCTCCCTCCCCGTCTTCACATTCCTATGCAAGTGAATGGAGCAATTTATCTTTTTATTTGCCTGAAAAATCCCCTGTGTCAAAAAGTACCTGGAAGCCCTCCTCCCATATACTCTGAGATCTCTGGTGTGAAAGACAAGGGGTGAGGAAAACACTGATTCCTAACTGATTGGAATACTCTGTTTATTTTTACAATGGGCCTTGATGTATTTTATTTTCACAAAGCACTTGCGTAGCTCAGTCAAAGAATACTGATGTCCTAGTATGCACCCTTCTCTGATGACCATGGCTCCTTTCCCTGACCCCACCCTTTTTCACCCCTCTCCCAATCATTTTCTGGTTTCCCAGCTTTTGTGTATTTTCCCCCTTTCTAAAATGTTGAAATGTCTTGCCTAAGGCTGAGTTACTGGCAGTTAGACTGTTAAGTTAAAATATGCTGGTATTTTTAAAGTTTTTTAATGCCCCATCTACAACTGGAATGTGGCCTCCAAGTAATCATTTGGAAGCTGCAAGTTGGTGGAAGGTACCATCAAAGCCAAAAGCGGGTGAGTTTCCCCTTTTGTTCTTTCTTCCACTCTCTTTACATTCTCTTCCAATTCAATAGGCTGCCATGGAGGTGAAAGATTGCTTTGCCAGAGGTCTGAAAATGCATGCCAAAGGATTTTGAAGTCAGGATTTTGAATTAAGGAATGAGCAACTTGCCACCCTCACCCTCACCCTAACTTCAAAATCCTTCATAATGAGCTGGGTGGGCAAGGAGATTGCAATTACTCCAGCATAAATGCTGCAAAATCACAGTGTGTGCAGAAAATCTATTTATTGCTCATTCAGGGCTATTCTGAGTTATCACACCTACCTGGCAAGCATCACTCCCTCCTTCCAGGTATCCAGCACACAGCATCCCAGATGAAATAGCTCCATTGTACACTTCTCTTCTATTGCAAATTTCATTGCCTATAATTTTCACTTCTGTTTGACGAAGCTCACTGACACTGGGGCCTGATTTTGAAATAGCATTGTTATTAATAATTATATTTCTGAACCACCCAATAGATAAAGCTCTTTGGGTGGTTCACAACAATCAAAAAATACAGTAAGAACACAAGAACAACACAATAATAAAATATCATAAAAATGCAATACAAAAATTGATAACCAAATTTAAAACCAGTTTTTAAAAGCTATAATAGCTTAATCAAATTAAGTCACAAGAACTGTCAACATAGCACCCCAATACAAGACAACATTAATTAATGCCCTATCACAGAGGACAGTCTTATCCTGGTACTGAAAAGATATCAGAGGTGGCAGCAGGCAGGCCTCAGTGCAGAGTTTGGTTCATAACTGGGTGGCTTCCCCTGAAAAAGCCCTTCTCCTTGTTGCCACCAGCTGAGTCTCCCTCAGAGATGGCAACTGGACTTATTAATTAAAATGGTGAGATTTCACAAGCAGCTTATAATGTAACACAGCCCCACAAGCTTCCCCAACCCCCATGTTACACACAACACACATCATACCTGAGTCACAACCACATAGCACACATTCATTCACAAAAGTACCCTGCTCTGTCTAGTCACTAATGCCTATGCAGGACTTCATCTCTGTTCAGGGGACAGGGTAGTGGAAGGGGCACCAGATGTGCACCCAGAATGTCCATGCTGAATGCTTAGGACTAGCCTAGTAAGTCATGTTGGATGGTATGAGCTCAAACCTGAGAGCTGCTGTCAACAATACAAGTGGTTTGCAACATCACCCTCTGTGAGTTTGATAAGCAGTATGAAGCCTTTGAATGGATCCAATAAGAGAAACATCAGGCCAATAATGCACCAAGAGAATGTCTCTTGGATTCCATAGATGATTAAGAGGTAGCACCTAAAAGCAATTGTGTGAAGGTATGTCAGACACCTCAAAGAAGATCCTCTAACTTCAACAGTCCCTTCCTCCTGCACTGGGAATTTTCAGAGGGGTTACCACTTTGCTCTCCCAAAGTAACTACTGTCCAACATCAGGCCTGGGGCTTTTGCAGCACCCTGCCACATGCACTCACAAGAACTACAATCTCAGGCTGCAAATGACCGCTCTGCAGTGAGAAGCGATTATGTGAGCAGGACCTCTCCTTGGCCACTAAGCTGACCCTTTCAGCTGGAGATTGTATAGCCTTGAAAGTGTCCATGATTCTCAGATGAGATGTGCATTCAGGTTGGCTTGGAAATATACTGAGCCTATTTCACCTGAAGTAGCTCAACATATTTCTGACCCAAGCTGTGGGGAACATATGCTCTCTCTTGTGAATTCTGGATAAAAGGGGTTTTATTTTTTGGAATGGTTCAGCTTGAATGGTTGTGGGTTTCTATTAGTCTGTAGCATCCCCATTACACATATTCTGCTCTACCCCAAGTCTAAGAACATTTATACAACTGTTTTTACTACTTTTGTAAGGATAAATAGACAGATTCCACTTCAAAAATAAAAAAGAATGAAAAAAGAAGAAAGGAAAAAGAAGAAAGGAAAAGAAAGGAAAAGGCAGACAAGATACCTGGTTTCTGTGATATAGCAAGGTAATATTTGCCACACCCCTCACAAACCAGGCAGCCTGTCTGCCTGTTTTCAAGCTGAAATGTTCCAAAAACCTACTAAAGTTGCAAAGCTGGGCTCTGAAGAGACAAACTCTGAATAGATGGTTACTAACCGTCATCTCTCAGAGCACCGTACCCTGTGACATAACAGGTGGTGTTCTCTGGAAAATATTGTGTAGCCTCTGGAAGACAAACACGACGCACAGCAGTTGTAAACTCCACAGGAGATGAGAGCTGCACAACTGCAATGTCATATTCATGACTCATGACATTATTTGCATAATACTCATGGACAACGATCTGGCGAAGATTCCTTCTCATTGTTGGAGGCCTCAAACGGGCCCCAAAACTACTTGTCCAACCTTTGATATCCTTGACTCTGAAAGACATTTGAGATGGTAGATAATACAAGTTTGTTCTACTTAACATTAAAATGGAGCTGTGTGAGCCACCTTGGGTTCCTCACAAGAGGCAAAACATGGGATAAAAATGCAATGTAGTAATAAAAATACTAATATATCATTTCATGCCATCCTTTCTTAGGACACGCCATCGCATTAAGTTAACAGTAAGGCAAAGAGGGATGTTTGGGTGGGGAGGGAATTCCTTTGCCTACTGACTTGGTCCCAGAGGCTTCCAACGCAGCAGCTCTGACACCACATATAAACCTGGTTTGGAACGGGAAAGACTGTGTGGAATGGAGACTGAGATGACTCAGTAGAAAGATAAAAAAGTTAAGCACCGCTCACCAACCCACAATTTCAGTTTGGAACATATGTAAACACATATAACTGGATTCAGAGCTAGGGATGTGTGAGGTGGGATTGCCAGGACACCCCCGATTCCAATCTTTCTTGCAGCAGCTCTGGGCCCAAGTTCCTGCTGAACATTCCTAAGGTTTTGCATGATGTTTGCCAGGATCAGCCCCCATAAGCTGCACAAACAGGTCCGTCTTCCACACCACCTGCAGGAGTCCAAATGGTTGTTACACATGGTGTGGAAGAGGGATGCTGCTAGCAGTTGTGCAAAGTAGCTGCTGCATCTGATTGCAAAACATGGTTGACTACACGGGGCTCACCAGGAACAGATTCCTGTGTAACTGCTACACAAACAGCTTCTCTCTCCTGTGCCACTGGGAGCACCTGAAGCTGTGGCATCTGATGTAGAAGAAGGTCGCCAGATACCCAACCTTTGTTCTACGAGTGCTTGCAGGCTTCCTCTTGGCTCAGCTTGCTTTGCAAGACTGGACTGAGCACAAGAGGAAGTCCACAGATACTAGATGGATGGATTCCACAAGGGGGAATCCCAACCTTAGTCAGAGCCAGTTCCAGATTTTTATGTGGGTCCTTGGGCAAGACACCCATGATGGGACCCTTCCTTTGGTGTGTCTGTCTTCTCACTGCCACTCTCATCAGCTGCTTTGCTCCTGCTCCTCCTCATCATCACCATTGCTTGCTCACTTGACACAGAGAATCAAGAATTAGACAGAGGCACTTCCTACTCCCCTCCAATCTTTGCTCTCTAGGCCAGAGCTAGAGGCAGGTAAGCAAGCAGGCTGCAATGGAGAAGAGGTAGGACAAGTCTAGGGTGCTCTGATCAGGGAAAGTCTGCAAGGGTGTGGCCTTCAGCAGGTGTCTGACCATGCCTATCTATGATGCAGATGATTGGTGTAGAAAAAGCACTTATCTGCCTAAATGGGATTTGGACAATTTTAAAAGTGTGATAATTTGAGTGTGTTGGTCAGATATAGATTTAGAGTTGAGGCTGTTTTCTCACCCTCGAAAGCAATGCGCTGCTGTTACGAGCCATGTGTTACTGATCAGTGTCGCCCCACAGCGATGAACACCATTCAGCTGGAGGCTGGCTTGCCATGGCCATTCCCCTTCCCCTGCAACGCTTCCTCCATAGATTCTCTCCTCAGATCTGTCTGTTCGTGTTCCACAACCTGCCAAAGAAGGCTTTCTTTTCAGTAAATAAAAATACCTCTATTTTTATTTATTTTCAAAAACAAATAACCTTTTATTTTTAGGGAGGGGGCTCAGCTCTGAGCCTTTTCACAAGGCTTTTCAAACCACTTTGAGTGCAGCCAGAAGCTCACATAATGCTGCTCTAAATGGACATTTTCTCTCTGGCCAAGTTACTTTCAGTATTAGAGCAATAGGGTCTTCTCTGGCTTGAAAACATAATCTTCTCCTCTGCACTGAAAATTGGGTAATTAGAGCAAAATCCTATGGATGTTTAGCCAGATAGGAGGCTTAAAACTCCCATCATGCCCCATCCAAGCATAGATTTACACCTTTAATGAGTTAAATCCAAGGTGAGATTTAGAGAATTCTCTCATCCCTCAGAAAAAGTCTTGGTGGCCTGAATGAAAATAGGTCCATTTCCTGTTGGAAAATTACCTCATTCATGTTTGATCTTGAAGGTACCCTTGGTAGAAATATTAGTGTCAAATGAGTAATTTTCAACAGGATACAGGTGCAGCACCCCCATTCTAAGCTGGGACTACATCTTGTATTGGCACACCAAGGCCACTGCTGCCACTTCAAAACAGAAGCAGCCAATTTAGGCACAGTATAAAAATTATGAATACTTGATGCTTTGTGAATAAGACTTCACCATTTAACACTATTATTTCAGGAGCTCTGTGTCTTGGACCCAAGGAGAGGTTTCATGTGTCAATAATCATCTAAAAATACTTCTTTGGCTCAGATAAGGACCTGCTCCATCCCTACCACTGTGATCTATCACTGAGTCTCTCTTTCCATTCCCACCACTGCTCTGGCCTCTCTATGTGGCTTTATGATGCAATTTCTGACATTGGTACTGGCCCAAATACACAGAAACTAAGGCTTCAAGGAATTGGCAGCTCACAGGTAGGAACCCAACATACCTAAAAACTGCTGCCATCATCATGCAAGGCTGGCTGTGACCTAATTACTAAAGGTGCAAAAAAGCAAGCACTTCCAATGTCATAAAATATGTCTGCACAAGCTTTTGCTTGGGGGCAGGGCAGAAAAGGCATCATTATCTTGCATTATGGCTTTGATAAAGATTTCACATCTAGATTTTGAACCAAGAAAGATGAAGCAATGTCCCTCTTCTATCAAACAGCACCTGACTACAGAGAGATGTAATAACAAGAATGTTATCCTTAAATAATGTGCCCCTTTAAGCAGTGAGGTGCCACTCAATAAGTATACATGTTGGTAAGTATTATTCCAAAGAATGACTATTCGCACTGGCATGGAGACAGTTACTGGCAAGTTGCACCCTGCCTTATCTACTTACAATTATATTACTTGTGAGTATGTATGGCACCTCACTGTTTTAAATTGCTCAAAGCTGTGAACATATTTCAGTAGTAAACAAAAACAAGCAAGGCAGCAGAACATCTACTGCCACTGGTATATACAGGAAACACTTTATTAGTATAGTATTAGTTAATTAGGTATTGTATATGAATTAGAATAAACACACAAGAGCAGCATGTCTGGGCATACCCCAAGGAATGAACACAGATGAGCTGGACATTTTGTCAAACCTTCTCCACATACACAGGGTTGTATCTAGCTATCTTCTGAGATTCACAGGCCAGCTTAATTTGTGTAAAGAAAATTCTCAAACACATTTTCCCTATAGTGAGGGCATAGCGTGAATTCTATAGGTAATTAAGGTATTCCAGAATTTTGCTTCTGGTCCAAACATCTACAAACAGCTGGAGGGTCCCAGCATGGGAGAAGGGTACACTAGGACTGTCTGTGGGGTGGGGGGGGGGGCGGGGAGAGGTGCTAAGTGGTAGCAAGAACTTTGTTCCTCTTGGCACAGTCTGTAGACAGCTGGTGCAGGCTGAACCCATTCCATTCCTACATCTATGTCCAGATGGTTTAAAGTTGCTTAATAAATTAATTTACTCACATGCATTTTTAGTTTTTCTCCTCTCTCTTTCCAGTAACTGATCAAAGAGTGATAACTTGTCTATCAACTTTACATTGGAATTCTTACTGTGGTTATGACCAGTTACTGGGAGCAAGGAGGAGGAAAACTAAAAACTGTGTGTGGGAAGATTAGTTTATTAAGTGCCAGTGCATTTTGAGTTAAAAGACTTCCTCAAGAACTGATTTTGCTTCTTCAAAGACACTGATACTTTCTGATAAAAGAAGTTAACTTTGTCTTCATCTGGTGCTTTTTCTCTTTCATTTGTGAAAGCTGCTTCTGTTTCTTAAATGTTAGTATTGGGCAAGAACAACATTGAATACTTCATGCTGTGATTCTCAGATTATGACTTGCATGTGTGAATGAACCATCACTTAGAAAGATGTCTCTGTCAGTCATAATTCCCTAGCTCATAAAATGAACAGAGGATCCTGATATTCCTCCCCCAACACGAGTTCTCCGGCATACGAATTAAAATTTGAGCCATGCAGAAGAACTCAGTGTATCCCTCACTCACTCCAACCCCTCTCCAGCACCTTTCTCCTGTGTAGCATAAACAGGGATATACAAATCAGCAAAACTCAAGCTCTCCAAAATTCTCCAAATTCCATCTTAAGGATTGTACCAATACAAGTCCAAATCAGACTGTGGGCTTTGTTTTTGCATCGGCACCAAAATCCAAGGGGGTCCAAGCCACTCAAAGAAGCAGTGTAACTTGGACTACCTGAAGCCCTCTTCCCAAGCCTAGAGGAAGGAGAGTTGGTGAGGAAGATTTACACTTGAAGATACTTCACGTTTCTCCAATGGCCTTCCCTCAATAGTTGCAAGGGGCTCAAGAGAAAGGCTCAGTCTCATCACGTTTGCCAGAAGTGCGCAGGAAGACATTATGCTAAGCAATGTCATTTCTAGCAAACCTCTTTCAGAACACAAACCAGTTTTAGTACTTACAGCTGTAAATAAGATGTTCACCATTTTGTGCATTAATCTCTGGAAAAAAAGAAAATAGAAAGGGCAGTCACTTCTATGTCAAACTATTTCTGTTTATATGGTGGACTTCCAAACTCCGTTAAGAAAACGAGAACAGCTAAGCTTCCAGAGGGCTGCTTTATGTGGCTGCTGTCACTCATACAGTCTTGTAGATCACCAACTGAACCGATACAGTTGGTGCAAAGTGAAATTCTTATCAAAACGTGGAGGAGGTCTTTCTTAGGCAAAACATCAGAGGAATTTCAATGGACCTTAGACTGCATTTTTCTCTTTGGGCAGGGAGGTGGCAGTTTTACACAAGCCTCATTCAAATATACACAACAGGGCTATTTGTGTGACATGCCATCCCACTGGAGATTATTTATCCCAAGTTAAAGCTGCATCATGTGCAGCTACCATTTTGGATATGCAACCCTCAACTCAACAGTTGTTGTATCATGCAAACCTGCTGAGCAAGTTTGTGCAAGGGTTAAATGACCTTAGAACAGATTGCAAGTCATACTTGTATAAAACTTGTATAACCCAAGCTCACACAACATGTAAATACTTGCTTGGGGTTAGTGTCAAGACGTGGAAGGGCTCACTCATCTTCCCATGGCAGCCACTGGAGAGTTGCCAGAGACAATGGGGCATGGCCGGGAATCTGTTTGGGAGGAACAAATATGGGACTCTGTTTGCAGGAATGCTTGGGCACACGCACAGCTGCAAGGGATTGGTGGCCGGAGCAGGGACAACTGTGCTGGGAAAGGGAGAATAAAGGCAGGGCCAAGACAAACAGGAGGGGGTGCTGAACAGAGTGAGGAGAGTGAGCGAGAGAGCAGAGGAGGGAAGGAAAGGATGAGACGATGCACAAAAGAAGCCTTTGGGAGAAAGCTGGAAGCAGCTGGCATTGCTGCAATGTGCAGACAGCCAGACAGGAGCAGCAAGGGCAGATCCTGCACCGAAGACACACAGCTCCCCACTTCCCCAGAGGCGACATTGCTCTTTGCCTTAGAACCTGGGGTGAGGAAGGGTCCAGGTGAGGAGAGAGCTTTGGTGTTTCAGGCAACATGGCCGAAACAAAAGCTGTAAACCACAAATAAAAGGATCTGCCAGGTGAGTTTGCTTCCTCGCAAGTTTTACATGGAACAAGGTGCGTTCAACATGTCCCTCCCTCCCAATCTTGTTACAGCTGGATATGTATTCTGGCACCCATGAACTCAACAGCTCATTGTGGATTAAATAACCCACGATCAACTGTCACCTTGTCATCCAAACCTGGTCAATATGATCTGGTACTAATATTGGTATTGAATAGTAAGCTTACAATATTCTTTACATTTCCAATTGCTTTCATTCATCAGCAGGAATTTGTAATCCATTATCATATTATACAGAAATATTCCCAGTTTAGCAATTTGTGTAGTGCAACTTGTGGATTGAAAAATGGTCAGGACATTTGTAGTAACACAATCATAGAAGCATAGAATGGTAGAGTTGGAAGCAACCGGGGCCATCAGGTCCAAGCCCCTACTCAGTGCTGGACTCCACATTAAACCATCCCTCTCAGATAGCAGTCCAGTTGCATCTTGAGTGCTCCAGTGTAGGAGAGCCCACAACCTCCCCAGGGTGATTTGTTCCATTGTTGTTCTGCTGCAACAGTCAGGAGGTACTCCCTGATGTTCAGCCAGAATCTGGCTTCCCGTAACTTGAGCCTATAATTCCATGTCCTGCACTCTGGGATCAATGAGAAAAGATCCTATCCTTCCTCTTTGTGACAGCCTTGTAAAGTGCTATCATATCTGCCCTCAAGTCTTCTCTTCACGTGGCTAAACATGCCCAGTTCTTTCAATCTCTCCTCATGGGGCTTTGTTTCTAGTCCCCAAATTGTTCTTGTTGCCTTCCTCTGAATCCTTTTCAGCTTATCTGCATCTTTCTTAAACTGTGGCTCCCAGAACTGGATGCAGAAGTGCAGATGAGACCTAACCAATGTTGAGTAAAGGGAAACCAGTACTTCATGTGTTTTGCAAGTGATACTTCTAC